TTCTTTGACTAACATTAGAAAAAAAGTTCAAATGATAAACTGCCAATGACTTTGTGCCAAGACAGCAGTGGACGGGGAAAAAAATCATTATTATCTATCCATGCCCAACTACATAAAGCATCATGTTCGACAACTGTCCTTGTTAGCTTTACTTAAAAAGATTAGCAGTACAGTAAACACTAAATCTGAGAGGTCTTGAGACAAGTCACAGGGCAAGAAAGGTCAGAACACATTCTCTTCCAGACTTTTCTTGCATCCTGGAGAGTTTTACTCTCCTTATATTACAAATTAAATTCAAAAACTCAAATTTAATCTGAGCCACAAGAAAATCTCTCTGCTTACTAGCATCCATTGCTTTACCTTTTAGGGGCATATGCCAAAATAGCTGAAAACCACTGCAGCCCGTCATTTCTTCAGGAAATATCCTTGAATTAATTATGTCAAGTGCAAACCAAAACTCTGGGATCAATTTTCGATTGTACATTTTTCATCTCAAAAATAATCCTGTCAGAAAAGACATGTGAAAGCTGGTAGAAGGCTGTGCATGCTCCTCTTCCTCCCTTCGAGAGTGAACATTATTTTAGACGTAGTTGGACAAAAGGTTGTACAAACTGGTTCATTCAAAGAATAATGAAGCCTCTAATTTGTTAAGTTTTGCTGATTTACATCATCTATACAGCTATGACTTCCACAGGTGAGTTCATTCTTACCCTTGAAGCAGAAAGCTCCATGCTTGTCCGTGGGGTCTGGGTAGCCAGTTTGGTTTTCATACTTGTACAGTGTGCGGACGCCCAGCTGGCCCCCTCCACACTGAGGCTTGGGGATGGTGATGGGGTAGCGGGCGCTACCGTCAGAAAGCCATCCGTGGTCGCATCTGTTCAGCCCCGCCCTCCAGGCTGCAAACAGCTGACCTGGCGACGCCAACACGGCATCGTGTTTCTCACACTCCTCTCTTGCCTGCTGCAAGGTGAGCTTATTGCTGATGGATGGAGGGTAGAAGACCTCGCCTTCAGACAAAGCACACAGATGAAGTAAGTCAGAGGTTCAGCGGGGTGTTTCCTGACTTGGTCAGATTTTGTTGCTGCTGCTGCTAACGATAATTTAATATGGTCGAAAGCCCCACAATGAAATCAGAGGACCTTGAGTGGAGAAGTTGAGAAAAAGAAAAAAGCAAAGGCACACTTTACAGACCAATGTGCTTGATAGAGGGAATTGCATACAAATGCATACAAGAATGAGAAATTGTAGACACAAAGAGTTTGTGTTACAATGAACAAAAGTTTGTTGAGAGCAAAAGAGAAGCAAATAGCCATAAATTTGTGGCGTGCAACACAAAAAGACAATACAACTTATGCACTATACAGAAAAAAGGGAGAGAAGTCACACAACCTGGTGGGTTCAGAAAATATGTATGTGTTACTTAATTCTTGTTAAGTGTTAGCCGGCTCCCGAGTTAGTTTGTCAGTTTGCTAGTTACTCCAAAAACAGTCCACCTGATAAACTGGTACTTCAGAGTGAAAACTTACTTTACATTAAGTTTGAACACATAAACTGAATAGCTGAGAACAGCTAATTTCACCTGACACCTTTAAACCTCCAGTGTGTAAGATTTAGGTGAAAGGGATCTATTGGCAAATATTGAATATAAAATAATCCTCATGATGTTTTCACTGGTGTGTTTCATCTAAACTGTATGAACTGTAGTTTTCTCTCCCCTAGAACAGGCCCTTTATATTAAAATACTTTATATTTACATGGAGGGGGCCCTCTCTACGGAGGCCACCATGTTTTTTATAGTAGTCTAAACTGGACAAACTAAACTGAATTTTTATGACAACTGAGGCTACCGCCATTTCTCTTTCATGTTTGGAAGGGGAGGGTGAGGTGAGGGGTGAACACCTGCAACATGACACTTCACCTCTAGATGTCACTAAATTCTGCACACTGAACCTTTAAGGGAAATGCAGTATCCACAGTTTTTGGAGCTTTACCCTGAGTCAGGACATTGCTCTGCTGCACTGATTTTGATCATGCTTTTATTATCACCATAATTATTATGTGTCTCTTGTAAATCCTTCATTCTTGTTGGAGCAGCAGCATTTAATCAGTGGAATGAAGCTTTAATGTGGAAGTTTGTCTCCTACTCAGGCTTTCCCGCTTCTTACTTCCTCTGACTACACCTCCCACTCTCTCTGCCTTTCACCCTGTCCCACTCAGGCTTCAGTGGGCAGTGTGCAGACATGTGTCAGGCTACCTATCTTCTCCCACTGTTTTGCAAAATGTATTTGTACTTGTGAATTTACCGTGAAGTTTGTCTACAAAGCAGTACACATCATATTTCTCTGTGGGGAGTCGGATGCCGTATGTTCTCACTCCTGGCTTGCTCATCAGATCACCTGCACAGCCAGGACGGGGCATCGTGATTGGATATCTGTAAAAACCAATAACAGCAGCACACAGAATTTAAGTGCAAATCACCTAATTAAGTTATTTCTGTCACTGTACAAGTCCTAAAAACCTTATTTTCTCTGAAAACAACTTGCAGCACAATGACAATAACTTATTTTAAAGCACACCTGACTGACTGGTCGGCTAGCCAGCCCGCATCACACTGGTCCAAGCCATCCTCAAAAGCAGCCTCCAGCTGTTCTGGTGAAGCGATGGAGGCGCCTGCAGCATGACACGCCTCCACAGCCCCAGGAAAATCCAGGGTGTAGCGGCTGGTGTTGGCTCTGTAGTGGAACACGGCACCTGGACACAAATAATAAACAATATAATAAGCAGAGTTGTGGAGTGACGAGGGCTGCAGTCACTGAGCAACATGATGATTCATTTAAAGTGATCCATCTGATTCTAATGAATCTAATTAATTCCAGCATTCCCTCTATAATCTCGGTTTTTGGTCTCCACTAACTCCTGAGTCGAGCATCTAGCTATAACAAGGCTATGGGACTGATGAGAGTCAACAGTAGCTGGGGGCTGTAAAACCAAAGCAGCATGCGGAACGATGAAGCTCCACAAAGCTGAGAGATAACCTACAGAGATGGTGATACTTCTGATGGTTCCTCAACACAAGCAACACAGATGAAACACTGTAACCCTGGAACTGTCAGTGCCCTGGAAACCTGACCCAGTCCCCTGTTTTGTGAAATTGCTAATTCAGCGTTGTTCAGTGTACAATCTTGTTCGTTACCGAACAAAAGTTTTTCTGTTTGGTCTGTAATAACAGGTCAGGCTGAAAAATGGAAACTGATCGAAAACTCAAAGTTCAGTTAAAAACTAAGTAAATATTTGCAACAAGGAAACTGAACATATAATTTTTACATGGTTTTTACAACATAATTGTTAAGGTGCTATATGTAAGTTTCCTCTGCCACCAAATATGATTTGGACATGTTCTTCTTGTTATATCATAATAAGTATCACTTATTTAATGATTTTGCTTTCAAGTCTGTAGTTGTTACTGAGTCTTCTCTTTTTTATTTATCCTGCTATTATCGTGTTAATTATTTTTGCTTGTGGTGTATTTGTTGTATTATTTGTAAGAATATTAAGTAGAAATGTTAATTAAATTAAGAAAACAAATTATTACAAAAACAATTCATTAATTGTCCATATTTCCTTGGTTCCTCAGTAAATTGATGATCGATAGCTTTAGGTCTGCTTCAGTGCTGCTGGATAAGAAGAGGTACAGTAGCCTATTTTTTACAAGAAGGGTCCCTTCAGGACAGATAGTGATTTGACCTTCAGTATAAATAGTATTTTATACAAGATGGTCAAAGTTGCATCAGATATCACACTTCGGAGAATATTAAAGATTTTGGGCTCCTGCCATCAAAGTTCATCGAGTGGAAACCCCACAGAATTCTGAGGAAGATTCCACATCTAATGAGCAAACCCTTGCTCTCAGAAATTTAGAAAGATTCCACATTAATACTGAACAGAGAGCTTTGTCTGGCAGCTGCTGACAAAGATGCCCCCTATGAGCGATAAACAACTCTCCATTTACCAGCTCAGTCATCTATTCACATCCTCCTACAGCTCTGCCAGGATATCCTCACAGATTCCAGCAGAAAATAAAGGAGCTAATGACACTACACAACAGTCACATGTAGTCTGAGGATGACAGCCGAAATAGAGGACTGGTTTATATTTCTCTCTACTGTTGTGCAATAATTGGACTTTTTGTCGCTGGAGGTATCTAGTTTCTGTCTGGGACAAATCTTTAGTGTAATCCCCAGTTTTTGGCCTACCACTTCAACAAATTGCTTGTAAGAAACATCATCAATCCCCCACTTGCTCTTGGTGAATCCTGTTGAAGATCTCCTGCTGTGTTGTCACATCGTCCATGCTTACTGTGGATTTTATACTAGCATCTCCAGAGTTCAGTGCATGTCTGAAAGCAGCTAAACTGTGTCTGTTTGCATTGCTGCTGAGCAGGGACAGTGGGTTAATCCACTCTTTTTTCCCTAATGAGAATGCATTAGACTGAACCAAGACAGTAAAGTTACAGGCTGTCAAGCCAAAACAACTGAAAGGGTCTGCTTCAATCTGAGGAGAACTGGGGAGTTGGGGATAATTCTCTGTGGGTTCAACAGAGAACATCTTTCACATAGTTATCCGACCCATTAATAATACAAAACTCTTGGTCGGTACAGATTTCATGAAAACAGTATGTGCACAAGCTTGAATTAATATTTAGGACAGAGCCTCCTCCTCTGAAAGCATCAGTGAAGTATCTGCCAGCTTCTCACATCTGGATTCAGGCAATGAACGAGTTTGTAGACTCTTAACGTTGACTGTTAATGTGACCAATAAAAGTGAACAATTGGCTGTGTGTGTGTTCGCTTGGTTGCTTGACTTACCAGTGACATTAAGGCTTACAGTGTCCTGAATGTCCTCCATTCCATGCATCACCTCACAGCGGTACAGTCCTGCGTCACTGGCTCTGAGTCTCACTATGATCAGAGAGGCGTCACCGACTGACAGCGGGTGACTGGGCACCGACACCCTGCTCTTGTATTCTGGCCCCACTTTGACTAACCCTGCCTGGGCCACCAGCACCACCGTCTCTCCCTCTCCTTCCAGCTTTGTCCACTTGATTCTCAGCTGCTCCTCAGGATTTGGGGTGTGAGGAGCGTCGGCAGGGAGGAGAGGTCCAGATGTAGGGGTGTGTGTGCTGGGTGAGGGAGTGTGTGTCAAGCTGCTGGGAGAATCTGGCATCATGGCGAAGTGACACGGCAGCACCACTCGGCCTGACAGAGAGCCGGCTGCAGGCGAGTTCTTCTCCATCCTCACTGAGTGGAGCGGTTCTGAAAAACATGATCCTGCATGAGTGTGTGTGTGTCTTTGTGTCATAATGGTGTGAAACACAGACTGAAGTGTTCATAATGAAATGTAAGATCATAACTGATCCAAATAACTTTTCGGGAGGCTGTTGATTTAAATGCAACAAACTGATGTTTAGAAGGTATAATATTTACTATGTGCACCATCTTAGTCTAGGGTTTTAGCATGGTAGCATTTGCTAACTAGCACTAAACACAAAGTACATATGAGGTTGATGGGGATGTTGTCAGTTTTGTTGGTAACACAAAATCATAAACCCAAATATAGGTTACATCAAAATCTTGACCTGATGATGGTGCTAGATAAAAAATCAGAGCACCACCAGAGTTATTACAGTTCTGACGGAAGAATGAATGTCAGAAACAAGTGTCATCAAAATCCATCGCACAGTTTCTGAGATATTTCAGCCGATAGCAGAGCCACCTCATGGCTGAGCTAAAAACAGGCCACTATAGTTCATTTAGTCGGAATGCTAGTTCATGTATCCAAATGTAGGACATAAAGTTGAAATTTGTGAGAAAAAGAAAGAAAACTAAAAAAGCCCTAAATCACAGTGTTAAAGTGGAAACAATGGTCAGATCTGCCCCGTGATCAAGATCAGCACCAAAGTCATGTCCCACCCATCCGCAATATTTCAAGTAAATCGGCTGAGTAGTATTTGTGATATACTGCAAAATAACATACGGGCATATTTTCTTATGATGAAAACAATTAAGATCTTCTACCACCCCATGCATCAAAATGTGTTAAACTTACTCAATGGCCCCCCCGGTGGTGAAATGGTACTGCATGCTCACAAACTTCAGTGCAACAGCCCAAAGAAATAAACCGGTACATTTGAAATCTAAACACTCTCTATATATTAAAAAGAAATGAGGATACAATTACAAATTGACTTGTTAGCTGAACCAAAACGTATAAATGTATTCTAAAAAGAAATTGAAAAAATATGGAATTCCTTCTAGACAGCCAAAGCTAATATTGAGGAACATCAAGATGATAATAAACTTCCAACTTGTAAGTATGATTTCTGTAAATATTTGTAGATGTTTCCTTTTCTTTAGTCTTGCATAGCCAGACCTTTCTCCTCCATGCTGTATCAGTGCTGGAGAATGGTCTGCCTGCTCCAGTTATCATCATGCTATCAGAGATTTTTAAAAATACTAATACTAATAAACCCAGGATGCAGCGACAGTGCACCTGCAAAAAAGTGCAGAAAACAGTTCCCTGACTATGTGATTGCAGGATCCAAATTTTGTGTGAATGTGAGGTGTAAATGGTTTTCCGATTGCATCTCAAGATGCATTTAAAATTTATTTGGGTGGGTTCACAGATGCACCTGGTCTGAATGGGGTCCATATGCCAACCCTGGCAACCTCTCCAGAGTGTAACCCACTTTAGGTTCAATGTGACCCTTCAAGGATAAGTAATAATATAGTATAATTAATGGAGGGATGATTTTTCAAGCCATGGAAGTTTGGCTTTTCAATGTTGGCAACAAAAGCAGCAGCAATCAGACTCTGGCTTCCACAGTCTGTTTGCTGCTACAAAAGATGCAAGACACTATAGTGAGAGTGTGATTACTGGAAAACACATGTTCAGAACAGATTTCCAATTCAGAGTGAATGTGTCCTCATGTGCTGGAGCATGAATCTCTTTCCACTGTCAGTCTTGGACCTGCAACTTGGCATGTGTGTTATTAGACCTACGTAAGAGGTGCATGAGGAAAGAAAAGAAAAATGAATGGTGAAAAAGTTTCATTTTTGGCTTCAGTCACATTGTTTTCAGCAGCAGGTGACTCACCTGGTTGAGGACGAGCAGAACACAGACACACCAGGCACCCCAGGTATGTGATGATGTGAGGAATCATCTCAACACGATCTGCAGAAAAAGATAGAGGATTCAGTGAATGATAAAAAACAATCACTTCTGTTAAGTGTCAGGGAAAAACCGCAGAGGACTGGAAATGTATTTCAGTTAAATGCAAGTATTTATATTGTCTGCTACCGTAGACTAACATTGCTCTACATTTCAGAGGGGAATATTGTACTTTCTACTGCATTACGTTTATCTGACACAGCTTCAACAATTAGTCCACTGACAGAAAATTAATCAGCAACTATTTGGGGAAGTGATACATTTTTTAGTCATTTAGTTATTACCACACTTACTGGTTCAATATTCTTCCAGATTCTATGTCATCTATGAAAATAAACTCAATAGCCTTGAATTTCAGAATGGATAGTTGAATAAATCAAGTAATCGGAAAGTATTTCCAAATTCTGTGGGAAATTATAATACTTGTGTGTTATAAGTTTTGAGATTTTATAGACGAAACACCTCAAGGAGTAAAGTGCCCTTCAAACTTTCCCTGAGGCAGAGGTAACAGGGATGACTAAAATGCGCAATGTTCCAAATAAATATAGAAGTTCCGAAACTATAACTTTACAATACAATTTTAAATATGATAAAAACAAAAAGGTGAATACTTTTTGTGCAAAGAGAGAAAAGAAAACTAACAATGAATCAGTCATTTCCTGATGAGTAAATTACTGACTTCTGGAGATCTGAGTTGTTCTTCCACTGGTTGTCATGGTAACAGAGGTGTTTTTTTGTCAACCCTATTAATATGGGAAACATAACTGAAAGAGTTGAGCAGCTCAATATGATTCAGGGTTTATGACAGCTCAGTGTATCTAGTGACAGTGGAGGAAAGTATACAATACTTTTACTCAAACTCTATTGCTCTATTGGTTTTTAAATTCTTGCTTGAGTATTTTCACTTTAAGCTGTTTCATACTTCTCCTCCACCAAGGATTTATGATATATACTTGAATTACTCTGTACTTTGCAACTTCAGGGTTTAGACACATATACAACTAACCAACAACATGAAGCAGATAAAATCAGTCCCCAGCTACAACACAATACTGTATATGATGATATTACACTTTGAAATGAGCCAGTCTGCAGAGTGAATACTTTTGATACATGATACAAAGTACATGAATATCATCAACAAAATAGTAAAGCACATTGTGCATTCAGAACTTTTTCAAGTGGTGTTTTTTACCTCTACTTTAGTAAAGGATCTATGGAGCATGTATTTCTACATGGATTCATTTAATATTCATGTGTTAAACATCTTTTTTATGTGACATTAATGATACTGGAGCACAGGAGAACAGATGTGCGGCCACAGCTGTCAGTGAACCAGATGCCAGCATCGCTGTGGTGAGAAAGTTAATCAGCACATCACGTGGTTAACCTATCAGTGGATGTAAACGGACCACACTGGTCCCAACTTATCACGTCTCTCATCATTTACTATTATCAGTGTGGGAACATTCCTGCCCACCCACAAGCTCTGCTGCTCCTGTGGATGAGAGACACGCACAGTGGAGCATCAGCTTCATGTTCCCCTCTGAGAACTATGGAGAGAATTACACTTAATTCTGTGAAGAGACCTCAACAAGAAATTCAATATAAACTGAGTAGAAATAAAAATAAAGCATCCTACCTTGTTAACACTATTTTAAACAATCGGAAAATCCAGCTGGCTCGTGTCCGGGTTTTCAGTGAAAACTTTCTGCAAACAAAAGTCCCAGAGGTTTGATCCCAACGGTGCAGCAGCTCCTCTCACACAGACGTCGGATGTCCGGACCTCGTCCACCTCTCAGCTCTGCAAGTTCAAATCCACTCCACGGCCACTATTATGAAGACACGATGGGAGAGGAGGGGCGCACGTCTGCACAACGCCCACCGAAGCCCGGGTGGGACAGGGTGAAAGGCAGAGAGAGTGGGAGGTGTAGTCGGAGGAAGTAAGAATGGGGAAAGCCTGAGTAGGAGACAAAGTTCCACATTAAAGCTTCATTCCACTGATTAAATGCTGCTGCTCCAACAAGAATGAAAGAGACACGTAATAATTATAATGATAATAAAAGCATGATCCTGACTCAGGGTAAAGCTCCAAAAACTGTGGATACTGCATTTCCATTAAAGGTTCAGTGTGCAGAATTTAGTGTCATGTTGTAGCAGAATACCCCTCACCTCACCCTCCCCTTCCCAACATGAAAGAGAACTTTAGTTGTCATGGAAACTCAAAAGATTTTAGTCTGGACGACAATAAAAAATATGGCAGCCTCCACAGAGAGAGGCCCCCTGACCATGTTAATAGATGGGACATGAAACAACCTTAAAAGTCAAAACTAAAAAATGATATAAAAAAATATCACAAACGTGGTTTCTGAAATTCTAGGTAGTTTTTAACACAATGATGCACATTCAAGTGCTAATATTCTGATAACTTTGGTTTCAATTAGTTGTTTGATGCTATGAAAATGGGGTGAAAAGTCATGATAGACAGCTGAGATTCACCCCCGATTGCGCAAGTGCTTGTATCGATGGGACCTCACTACTACTTCCGTAACCGCTACTGGCGGAAGACCAGACCAACTCTGAGTCATCAAAGTCATAAGATGTTATAAATACACTCATCGGCCACTTTATTAATTTAATTCAATTCAATTCAATTTTATTTGTATAGCGCCAAATCATAATATACATTATCTCAAGGCATTTTACATAGAAGATTAAAACTTTAAAATCTAATTAATATAGAGAAACCCAACAGTTCCCACAATGAGCAGCACTTTGGAGACTGTGGAGAGAAAGAACTCCCTCATTAACAGAGAGAAACCTCTAGAACCAGACTCAATGTGGGCGTCATCTGTCTCGACCGGTTGGGGTGAGCCAAGAAAAAAGGGAGGAGAGGAGAGATGGGTGGAAAAGAGGGGAGAGAAAAGATAGAGATAGTGGGGAGGGGGAGGAAGGGGAGGCACACCTGTTCAATTGCTTGTAAACACAGATTACAATCAGCCAATCACATGGCAGCAACTCAATGCATTTAGGCATCTAGACGTGGTGAAGACGACTTGTTGAAGTTCAAACCAAGCATCAGAATGGGGAAGAAAGGGGATTTAAGTGACTTTAAGCATGGCATGGTTGTTGGTGCCAGAAGGGCTGGTCTGAGTATTTCAAAAACTGCTGATCTACTGGGATTTTCACGCACAACCATCTCCAGGGTTTACAGAGAATGATATGAAAAAGGAAGATATCCAGTGAGCAGCAGTTATGTGGACGAAAAGGCTTTCTTGATGTCAGAGGTCAGAGGAGAATGGGCAGAGTGGTTCGAGATGATAGAAAGGCAACAGTAACTGGACCAAGGAGAATACCATCTCTGAACGCACAACACGTCCAACCTTGAAGCAGATGGGCTACAGCAGCAGGACACCACACCGGGTGCCACTCCTGTCAGCTAAGAACAGGAAACTGAGGCTACAATTCACACAGGCTCACCAGAATTGGACAATAGAAGATTGGAAAAACGTGCCTGGTCTGACGAGTCTTGATTTCAGCTGCGACCTTCAGATGGTGGGGTCAGAATTTGGCGTAAACAACATGAAAGCATGGATCCATCCTGCTTTGTGTCAACAGTTCAGGCTGGCGGTGGTGGTGGTGTAATGGTGTAGGGGAAATTTTCTTGGCACACTTTGGGCCCCATAGTACCAATTGAGCATTGTTTAAACGCCACGGCCTACCTGAGTATTGTTGCTGACCATGTCCATCTCTTTATGACCAGTGTACCCATCTTCTGATGGCTACCTCCAGCAGGATAATGCACCATGTCACAAAGCTCACATCATCTAAAACTGGTTTCTTGAACATGACAATGAGCTCACTGTACTCCAGTGGCCTCCACAGTCACCAGCTCTCAATCCAATAGAGCACCTTTGGGATGTGGTGGAACGGGAGATTCGCATTATGGACGTGCAGCCGACAAATCTGCAGCAACTGCGTGATGCTATCATGTCAATATGCACCAAAATCACTGAGGAATGTTTCCAACACCTTGTTGAATCTATGCTAAGAATTAAGGCAGTTCTGAAGGCAAAAGAGGGTCCAACCCGGTGCTAGAAAGGTGTACCTGATGAAGTGGCCGGTGAGTGTATATCCAGGATGCTTTTTGCTTTCACGCCTGTGCTTGTGATCATCTGGCACACATTTAATTGCCAGGTATGAACAGGCTTAGAAACTGACACATACATTATGAATACACACATATTGCAATTCAAAATACAATATTTACATGTTTTATTGGTGCAAATATTAAAATGACACATTTGCAAATACATAATCACAAAATCACAATTTAGAATCTCATAAATCTAGAAAATAGAAAATGATTAATAAATATCAGTCCCCTAACCATCACAGTCAGGTGACGAATGAAAGGAACGACTAAATGGAGAAACAGAATGAGGAGGTTTGATAACAATGCTGTGAGTCATACTCTCAATGAATGGCAGGAGAGATGTGTTAGACAGTGCTCTTCACTGAAACCTCTGGTCGGTGGTGGGGCCAGCAGTTGACTACTCAGGTAACTTTATTAATCTGTAATGTGTAAAACGTCAAACCCCTGTTCACTGTATTGTCGTTTTTCATTATCATTGTCCAGTGTATTATCACAGCTGGAACACAGATACTTCACTTTTCATCTGCTGCATTAACCAAAAGATAAAGTTGTTCATATCAAATAATGTCATCCATGTGTCTCAGGGTAGGAAACAAACACTCGAGTCATCCACTGGAAAGGTTCATTACAACGTTTAAGATATGAAGTTGTTTTTTTTTTTCACATCTGAGTTTTGTCTTTTCTCTTCCTGTAAACACTTTCAGCTGTGTGAAGACTTATCCAGCACTCAGGGTTGTTTGCTCATGCTGTGTCCAATCAAGACTCTTTTTTGATTTTTTTAATTCCCTCCCAATGTCTATACATTCTGCCAGCTACTGAGCAGCAGACAGGGACCTACACTGTCTGATTAAAAGATAAAGTTTGCAGGTGTAGGTGAAGGTGTTTGACAAGGAGTCCTGCAGTCCTTACGGCTGTCGTTGTGACAGCGCAGTCAGAGGGACATGGGTCAAAAATCCTCAAACAGGTCCTCTGCTGCTGAACTTGCTGCCGCAGCATCTGAAGAGCACTGGGGAGTCTGCTGCTTACTGGATCCTGCAGGGGAGTCACTCCTGTGCAGAGCGCACACACACACACGCACACACACACACGCACACACACACAGGTCAGTGGGCTAATGAGGCTGGTTTACAGGAGAGTTTTCCTGTTGAGACGGGAAGTGTATCATGTGGCCCATAGGGAGCAAGACTAGAAACACATGGGTAACTTTTATACCTGTGTGTAGACAGGTAGGTGTTTGTGTGTGTGTGTATAATCAAGGCCCAGCAGCTCCCCCATCTTAAATGGTCTACAACAAAATATTGGACCTGACTACCTGTGTGCTTTACCACACAGAGGCATGTTCTTATTTCAGGTTTCTACTTCATAGATGCTGCTGTATTCTGTCTTCACTTGAATGTGGCATCATGTGATGTTTAAGAGCAAGCAAACATAATTTCAGAGATACAGAGGATGAGGGATCAAAGAAGCACAGTGGGTAGCAGAGAAAAGAGGGCAAGAGGGGATCAAGGCAGAGGCGTGAAACAGAGGGGAAACGCAGTCGTCCAACTGGTTACCAGAGCTATATAGGGGGGGTGGGCTTCAGTCTTAAACATTGGTGGAAATTGTTAAATGTTCAGACTGCCACCACTTTCCTAACTACAGTGATTATAAAACTACAGTGAGCTGTGCGCTAGCTTTGCTTAGGATAAACAGAGACAAGCAAGCCTCGTCCTGTCCAAAAGCAACAAACTCCAGCTTTACCCAAACCACTAAAACTCTCTGATTAAAAAACAATATTTGGTCTGTTTAACGCTGTATTCTTTGTAGATTTGGGTGATGTTCCGGACTATTTCTTGGCTGGGAGAAGTTGAGACTGATGCCGTTACTAATGCCGACCAAAAAATTACTTAAAATTCAACATGAGTCAAGTTCTCACTGACACTATATATTATATTACTAATAAAAAAGTATTTAATACTATATTATACTAATTCTGTCTCAAAGTGCCCGGGTCTCTCTCTATCTTAATGACAGAGAAAACCAGGTCACTCATTCTAATTTCCATTGTCCCTCATTTAAAACAAACACCATGAATGAACCTCAACACTTCCCTGTAAATGAAAGAGGTGGCAGGAGCACTACTGGTGTCCCTCAAACCACTGGTGCTCATGGAAGGGAATACATGTAAAAAAATAAAATAAATGGCATGAGGAATCCAGGTGCAGGCAGTCCAGTACACCCTGATGAAGGCATAAGCCAATACACGTTGGGGTATTTTACAGCTTCAAGCCCATTTAAATAAAGGCCTTTTACATTTTTCAAACCACTTTGAGTGCCTGGACCTGGATTCTTCATGCCATTATTTTAGACAGTTTTCCTTAAAAAAAAAAATGTTTCACCTAAATGTTCACATTTAGTGGAATGATACACCCTTTCCTCCATATAAAGCCATGTAAAGTGAAAGTTTTGTTAACGGTGCCTCAAAATCCATCAGAAGTACAGCAAAGGAGAAACTGTGTGAATTGTGGGAGTAGACTATAGGTAACTGCAATTAAAGGACAAAAGCACCAACTTCTTTGTGGCCCCTCTTCTGTAAACCATCTAAAATAGGTCTCCTCTCACCTAACTGCATGTGTGAATGACTGGCGAACCTGAATTCAAGCTGACCTATGGACCACCCAAAAACCCAGTTAAGTACTGTGAGCTTAGAATTAGAATTACAAGACATTATCTACCTAAATTCCTGGTATGCACAAACATACTTGGCTAATAAAGGTGATCCTGGAACAAGGACATAAGATGGGAAATGTTCTGCCTCCAAACCATCCTCACAGTAACGATAAGAAGAGAGGCCCTGAGCTTGTTTAAATCAATACCAACTGTATGACGAAAAAACACTGCACTGCTGGAACCAGTTACCAGGAAACAAGAGACGTGTTCACTGCAGAGAGGAAGCTGTTCCATGCTGCCACAGAGGACCACCAGAGACTTCAACACATGGCAGAAGGGGACGTGACGAGAGCGGCTTCAATCCTGAGAGGTTAGGTTAAGCTCAGGAATTGGGCGCACAGAAGCCCCCACACAGAGCTAGTAGCATTCTGCTCTGTTGCTTACGTTACTTAATAGAGGTTCACTTTGGACCAAGTTGGGCAGAATTTGTTTTATACAGATGAAGAATAACTCCAAGCTAAAGTTCTATCACTTAAAGGTTCAGTGCACCAAATGATGTCAAAAACACTTAATGCTACTGGTTTTGTCTTTTTATACAGTGCTGGCTTTAATTGCTCTGTATAGAAATCAATTTTGAAATCATTAATGTGTCATTGCCGCAATCATTAACTCTTATTCAATTTGACTGTGGCTGTTGAAAATTATGCCACTTTGGTTTATAGCAACCCAAATGTATTTAACGCTTTCATTAAGAGACGATACTTTCTTTTTTCCATCATGTTGCAAATTGTAAGCAAAATTTCTTGAAGGGATAGTTCACCCCAATATGAAAAGTCACTCATTATGTACTCCACCACTATGCTGATGGAGGGGTGGGTGAAGTGTTTGAGTCCACAAAACACTTTTGGAGTTTCAGGAGTAAACAGCATTACAGCCAAATCCAACTGAAGAAAAACAACAGATGGTGTCAACCAAGTGTTCAGAAGCCTCAACATTCAAATTGGACTCATTTACACCATGTTTTTAGCCTAAATGTCCTCTGATATCCTCCTCCAGAGCTGTGTTCATGTTCACATGCACACACTGCACAAAAGCTCTCACCAAAGGGTGCGCTGTTTACCCCTGAAACTCTAACAGAGATACTCTGAACATTCTTCGCAAAGGACTACATGTGTGACCGCAAATGTCCGAGTAAGAGACAGACTATGTGTTGGCTTTCTCCAGCCAGTCCCCTTGTATAAAGTCTGAAGAAAACAGCAGGAGATCCTCAGCACGATTCACTTGAAGAAAGTGGGAGGGTTGATGGAGTTTCTAACATGCAACAGAAAACTGTACCCAAAACTTTACACGTAAAGGACAAAGTCGGAGATGTCAAGAGAGCTTTAGGTGATAAGGGCCAATGGCAGTGTAGTGCTGTAAACAAAAACATGCGATCTTCGCAGCAGAATTAATATGTGACACACAGCCACACACAATGGACACTTTAACAGCCCAAAAGTTGGCTGAAGGGTAAACGACCTGCATATTCAACATGACTTTCACGGTAGGTGATAACCCACAAGAGTTTAAATATCTGCAACTTTCCACCAGTCAGTGAGAATCGAAGAGGCCTTTTGGATGCCCTATGAAACATCTTCAAGAAACTTGAGCCCAGTTAAATATGTACACATATACAACTCTCGAAAAATACCATAAACTGAATGAATGAGGGTTTTTTTTGTATTAATTTGAGGAACATTTCAGTATCCTAATTGGTACACATGTATGATTTTATCTGCCATCATTTTTGCGTGATTCTGTATGGCATCATTCATTCTCTAAATCTGTTTCCATAGTACTTTTTATCCACACACCAACTTGTCCACCTCTAACAAGATTTTTTTGATACTGCAATATTATCACATGTGTTATTGGCTAGCCATTAGCTAGAAAGCTTCTGCACTTGAAATGTTCGACAAACTAAATCCACAGAATGCACTAGTTTGTCCACAGCTACAACATTACAAATGTTCCCATACACTTTTTGAAATCAATTTCACCTAATTTATCCATTTATGGACCATGAACTAGTCAAGGGTGTTAGGATGCTTAGTAAAGATAGAAGTAATTCACTTAGAAAAATATCCAAATGATAAAAAACTGATGTTCAAGGAAAAAAAAAAGTTTCATTAATCTGATCTAATAATTGAAGATAAAATAGTTTTAAACTTTGCTTTTTGCTTTTAAATTGATTGCTCTTAACTGTCTTTGTTATTTTGTTATCTCTGGAAATGTCTGTGTATGACATTCGCTTTAGAAATAAACTGCCTTGTCTCTCCTTAAAATTAAAATAGGATGAATATAGAATCATTGTCAGACCTGTGTTTAACTTCTAGAACAGTGAAAAACATTTGCCAAGAGAGAATAGNCATATCTTAGTATTGATCCTTCTAGGAGGGTTCAGTGCCGTGAGCAAAACTGTTCATAAACTATATTCACATGTTATACAGAGATTCCAGGTTTCTCAGCTTAGTGGGATCATGTTAGAGAGCCACAGATCACAACAACCAATAAAAATGGTGCTGATCCTAGTATAAAGCAAAATGCAAACACATACTTAAAACCCTACCAGTCCCATGTCTTGCAGTGATTATCTGTGATGGCTTGGAGCAATGTTTGATAGTTCACAGAGCCAGTCCCTGTGAGAAGGAGAGAGAGTGTTTCACTGCAAGTCTTTTTTCATGGCAAATGCAATCCTTACAGTACACTGACACTTCTGAAGACCTGATGGACACATTAACAGATAACAACAATATATCAACAAAAGGAACATGACCTTTAGAACAACCAGCTGTTTAACAATAAACTCAAACTTGCCTAGTTTTGGGTGACATTTCAAACCCAGAGGACCATAATGATGCTTGTTATGTTAAATGAATGAATAGGTCAACATTTTGAGAGATACACTTTTCTGATAAAGAGTGAAATGAAACCATGAGTTAAAGCTGGATTTACATGTCTTTGTTAAGTGGCTACACTACATGTGAAGGCTCTGAGGTAGAAGTAAGGCAGTTTATCTCCCAAGATGTTGCACAATCCCTGTAATTAGTCATCCTTGTCCTCTGTTCATATGGACTTCATTTAACTCTCTGCAGGCTGTTTCACTCCCAGAATTTTCTGCTCTTCCTTGTCTTCCCCCTCTCTGTCTCCTCTGTGGATGACCTATATGCAGAAAAGTATGGATGTATCACAGGAAGGTGAATGAGTTGAGGAATATAATGGAAATGGCCAAAAACAATAGTTGGCTGTAGGGCTGCCAACAACTCTAGCCCCCCAAGTTAGCCATCCCAGACAAAGGCCTCTCTTTTACAGCGAGTGTTTGCCAGCTCAGGGGGGTAGGGGGATGGCAACTTCTGCAGTCATCAAACATCCAACCACAGCTGCTCATAGGCTCACTGCTGCTTTTTGTTGTAGCAGTCAGAGTTGGTAATGAGCCTGTAATGTGCAAAACTACCAACTACTGACAGCAGTTGGGGATGGATGGCACCACTTACAGCCATCTGCATGTGGCACAGTCATTGGTGCTAAGAGGAGCTTGGACACGATGTATTCACCCTCTATTGGACAGCTACAGAGTCAATGTCAGATTGAGACATTGCTTTGGAAGAATTTCTAAATGGCCATGTCTCAAATGAAAACTTGGCGAAAGGGAGACATGGGCACAAGAGCAGTAGTATTGCTAGGTTTTGGATGTGCAGCAGCAGGGCTTTAAAGCTGTGTGATAGTCTGACTCAGCAGCAATTCTAGAAACAACACAGAGGAGAAAAGAAGAAAGTTGTTCTTTGAGATCAGTGGCTGACTTTGGCACCCCACTTCATGTCCAAGAGCCCCAACCCCCCTGCTGCACTTTGTTAAGACCAGAATATAATAGTATTCAACAATGTTAAAGAAATGAAAGGATTTGGTTAACCAAACTATTAAAAAAAACACATTTACCCTTCAGTGAATATGCCCCTAAGTTCTCCCCATAAGAGTCAGTTGCTCAATTCAGGGGTCCGTTTTCAGTTCTTTCTAGAAACTCAGGATCACAAAACCAAACCACATAGAGGTGTACGTCAACAGCTACCAGCTACAAAATAATAATAATATAGTCCTCCTGGTTGCAATATACCAACATCACACTGATGTTCCATCAATACATGTTACTGGCTTGACTTATTCCCTGGAGTCCTTGTTTATTGTTGAATGCTCCTCCTGCCACATCGTGGATTGTGATGGCAGCTGATTGTGGATTTGATATAAAATATAACTACTTACAACTTACACACAACACCTCCGTCCATCTTGAGAGAGGGATCCTTCACGGCCTACTTTTTTTTTTTATCTTTAAAGGTTTATTTTGGTGGTGTTCCCTCACTCCAGTCGAGGGTTAAGGGCATGGGATGTCACACCTTGTTAAGGCCTACGAGGCAAATTGTGATTTGTGAATATGGGCTGTAGATAAAATAGTAACATTTGATTGAGAATTTTCTTACTTCTTTGAGATAGTATAGGTTTTAGATGATCTTTGCAGAGATATTGATATTGTAGATAACCTTGATCTATACCTTTGATTGTGTTTGGTCAGAATCTGTGCATTGTATGCATTCTATGCATTGTTGAGTTATTTTGTACATAAGTGTGCAGGGTAAATATTATGTTAATATATGTTACGCTCAACAAGACATCAGAGATCGATCTCTCAAACCCAACATGTCAAAGTTAATTTGCAGTGTTGTTAAAGCCTGTTGTTCCAATTCTCAAGCATATTTGAAGCAAACTTAGCAAAAAATGTTGCTAAAAAGGAAAAAAAGTTCATGCATATTGGCCGAGTTTCCATTAACTCTGCATATAATCTATGCTGCATAGTGTCATGCGAATGTGGTGGGAAATGTTATGCAAGGCATCACTAAGCCGCTAGCACCACCAAACAGATTTGTGTTGCTGGAGCCTTCTACATTGACACCCCTACTGCAGTGATAAAAAGAGAAGACTAGTACCTCAAGTGGGCATAAAACCTTTTTTTGTCAACCTTTTCTAATATGATACTTTAAAATGCACTTAAAATATGTAGCTATTGTCAATAAAGGTCAAAGAGACTACCTCTTAAGCAGAAAGCAGTTCCCTTGTACTGGAGACTGGATGTCTCAGTACACTGACAAATAAAGCCACAACTATCTGCATTGAGAGATACCTAGAGCTAAGTGAGAAAATATGTTTTGTTATACCCTATCATTTTCCACGCTATAGTTTAAGAGTTTCAACAACAAAGACTATACCATGAACATTTGACAACATGTGAACTGATGCAGCTTCCTGATGTTTTCCAAAAACTCATTAGTGAAGCTGTGCATTCACATAAAAATGCAGGATGGAAAAGAAGTCTTGTCTCCTGAGGCTGACTCTAGCAATCCTCTCATCACCAGCTGGCCCGCCTAAAGCCAAGGCAGCATGTGTTTGTGTGGTTAAAGAGATAAAACAGACAGTCCAATAGAGAAGACAGAATCTTGAAGTGGTTGAAGCCCAGCAGCAGAAATCATAAACCTGCAGGACAACACTGGTCTTTTATCGCCAATAAACTGTGAGAGCTGAATTTGATATTACCAGGAATGCAGTAAACGCCCTAAAGGTGTACAGCTGGGCTTTCTCTTGGCCGCAACAGAAGGGGACACGAGTGGAAACTGCTGCTGCAACTTCTTAAGGGAACAAGGTTAAACTGATTGTCAAACCAAACTACACTTCTCTTCAGTTCAGTGATGTAATAAAGGTACTGTTCGAACCCCCGCTCAGCTCTGCAGTCATCTATGGCAAAACATGTCATATACTGTATGTAGCTCAGTGTGTGGCGACATGTCTAGTCTTGGTCATGAAAACTGCCTCTGACCTTGTCAGAGCTACAGTTCGCCTCACACTACTGACTGCCGTCTACATTGATAACCAGAGGTGGCAAAAGTAGTTACATTCTTTACTTTAGTAAGTAAGTACAGATACTTGTGTAAAAAAGACAGAAGAACTGATTCAACTCCTTTACTCAAGTAAAAGTAAGAGAGTACAGGCTCTGAAATGTACTTACGTACAAAAGTAAAACAAATTTTTAACTTCAACGATACACGGATTTGATAACTCTGCAAAGACAAAAAGTTGTAGGCACACAAACTAGGATACTTTTCCTCTTTTGCTTTTTACTTCTCCTGCACAGAGCTAGTACAGAGAAAAAAATCACTGGACACAGTTAAGTATTGCTGCCAAATTTGACAGAATAATAAAGACTGAACTGAACCAAGGTCCTGCATGAGCACTTGGATAATTTTTTACAGGGAATAAATGGATGTAGTATGTGTTCGTGTTGATTAAGTCCCTGTCCCTTGTACACACTGCCCGTTGCTACTACTGATTGGATGGTTTAGTGGGGTCCTCGGATCGGACCCGCGGGAGTCGGTCACAGCCCCGTGCTGCTAGGTCTTTTACGTCATGTCGTCATCCGTAGATGTTGAAAAAGTAACGAGCAAGTTTTGAGAATGTAAGGAGTACAAAGGACAGGTATTTGTGTTCAAATGTCGGGATTAAAATTAAAAAGTCGTCATAAAATAACGTACTCAAGTAAAGTACCTGAAAAATCTACATACATATAAAGTATTTGTACTTCGTTACTTCCCACCTATGTTGATAACCCCACTGCATCATCACAGTTGTCAAATCAAAAATTCGAGGACCTCACCTTGCACTGTGGCATATTTCCTTCATAAACAATATGAGAAATTAATGAAAAACAACCACAGTGGGATGCTTGTATACACGTACTCCCTGTGAAACACACACTTTTCAACATAGCACTCCACATCCCTTCACATATTTACGTCACTGATTGTGTTGTGGTCAATCACTGGTTTACAACTGACTGCTACCATACGAATGTGATTAGCTCTACTGCCACTTTAGCCTTGTGTATACTTCACGTACAGCTCAACAGCAATTTAGTGGGGTGGGGGGGGGGGCCTGTGAATGTTCAGGTCCAAAGGTTAAAATCATAGAGAGCTGCTGCAGATTGGGTGTAATTGCCCTACATAAAGAAGATCCCTGACATGGAACTTTTATGATGTTTGATTTTCCCATTCAAGACAAGTGTGGTTGAAGGGGGAGGAGAAGAAAGAGAGGAGGGGGGGGTCTGAGGGCAAAGGAAAGATGAGACAAAAGGAAGGAATTCACAAAGACATCAAGAAAGAAACTATTAACACAAAGTATTTATTTCTCTATAGTAAAAGAGGGAGTTTGTTTTAACTTGTAACAATAAAGTGTATTTAAATAGATGTGCATTGGTTTGTGCTATTTAAGGTTGGAGATGTCACACCCTGGCTACATGAACAAACTTAAGGAGGATGGTATGAACGGTTTATGTGCTACCAGGCCAGTAAACCGCTCCAGAAAAGGCATTAACTGACATCATAAAGCAGGGGAATATTATGTAGGAGGAATTACTTTTCACCCAGTGTCTAAACAAAACTATAGCAACACGGACACTAAGCAAGACACATGTAAATGACAAACTGGTAGAAATGCTGAGCAGACACTCCTACCTCTTTCTTTGCAAAGTCTCTGGGTTTGGTCTTTTAAGCGCAGGGTCCGAGGCCTTGAGGTGACGAAACCGCCGTTTGCGACAAGGAGCCACGTCTGTGATGTCCTTTAGGCTGCCATCCAGTGGGCTCGGTGTAGAGGAGTCTGTGTAGAGCATGAGCAAGGCATACAACAATGACCTCAAGCAGAGACAGATGGTCAATATTATTTAACAGATCTTCATCGACTTGACCTGTGAATCATTATCTCAAATCATAAAATGCATATATATCTGCTCCTGTCCCTGACTTATGGACACAGATGGGAAACTTAAAATAATCTGCAAAATTAATTCAATTTGACTAATCAGATATCTCAAGCATTTAACTGCTTTGTTAAATGTGTCTATACATAAACCCCTTTTCATCTTTTTAATTCATGCATGACAATGATGTTCTGTTGCTTGGTCCAGACATATTTCAACAACTATTGGATTGATTGCCATGAAATATTGTACAGGCAATAATGTTATTTCTCAGTCTCTACACATCCATCAGAGGGGTGGGATTTCTGTAAAAATGTTAAGTGTCAATAAACTATTCAGACTATTAAATGCTTAGTAGAGCTCCATCTTCCACTATGGTTATGTGGGGGAAAAAAACTGCGGAATATCCCCTCGACACTTAGTTGTAATCTCATTCCCATTCCCAATATGTGATTTCATTGCTCTCATCTGGGACCAGGCCCCTGTGAAATGGCTTCCAAAAAATCTGGTTAAACTCTTGGTGCTACCTCCTTTTCATGGTCTATCTGGTCTACACAGTTGGGTTGGAGATGCAACAACTGGAAGCAAGCTTTCAATGCGATATGTGAGCCTGAAAATCAATTCTGATTTCAGGAACCATCTCAATGAGGGTCTGGATCACACGAGCAATGATGTCACCTTTTGCTGCCAACCTGTGAGCACCATGCACTTAACAGCATTTATTCACAACATAAAAACTCACTGAGAAACAAAGCTATACTAAATAACATGCTCACTTATCCAAAACTCTGCGCTAAATAGGGGCTCTACTGTGCTACTGTGATATTTCAATAATTGCCGAAAATATGTACCTCATGGTAATAAGTGCCCAAAGGAATTTAAATATGTAGAAATCTAAAATATTAATTGGGTGGTACACACACACACACTTGCTCCAATGGAACTGACTCCAGGCCAATTGATCTGTTTTTTTGTGTGTGTGAATCAAAACTCCGATATTTCAGGGACACCTTTATAGCAGCAGAATCTATGCATACTCTACCACGCAAGGCAAAACACAAACCATAACCACAAGTTTACTGCCCCCTCATCCTCGTCCCTACCCTGTTCTTCCTCAAACTGTTGGAAATAACTGGCAACATGCAGCAACCTGACTTATTGTCATAGCAACAGAAACAATACAAATCCTGCAAGCCTTCTCCCAGAGAGAAGCAGGGGAAGTCCCAGGAAACAGGCGCGTGCGTCACCACAAAACCAAAAAAAACTTGCATCTAACAAACCTGACGTGGTTGTGGACGATTCAAAATGTGAGAAAGTGGAAAAAATCAGCTGAGAGTAGGGGAAAATCTGTCTCAGTTGCATGATAGGTAACTTCTGTTCTGTTCACATCCATCTTAAACACACACCAACACCCAAAACATCCATCCTCCTGCTGACGACACATTAATTCCACCTGGACCACATTGGAGCAGAAGTGTAGAGGTTGATGAATTGTAACGTCAGCCTCGGTAGCTGCTTGTTTTCAAAGGTGTTCTGGGATGTCAGTTCACAGGCTCACTACTCTGCATTACATAATTCCTTCTCAGTGATGTCATGCTTAGTTTCTGGGCATGAAAAACACAGAAATGGTGCAAACACACTCAGTTCTCATGACAACGGCTCCAAAAAAATATCGGACTCATATTTTACGAAAGTGAAAACCTCTTGGAAAACACTTGAGAAAACTTTATAGCACTAATATTATGTGTTTTGAAGTAAGTTAGGTTACTGCTCTGCTCTCAGCGACTTTGAAGCACACTCCCCAATCACTGACGTCTCAGCAGGTGTTTCCCATCGGCCGCCAAAGTCAGAACACCTGCAACAGCCATTTTCTGCCCTGTGTGATTTAGTGTTCACTAATCCTCTCAAATGACAAAATGAAGTACTCTCTGTAGATGATCCATGAATGTTCCTGTCTGAAAACTCATTCTGTTAACTGTCATCATGTTGACTTAGAGAAATGTCTGGACATAATAATAGAGTCAAAGGTTTGGCCTGGAACTAGGCTTTCTGGAAAAGTTAACGCTCTAAAGGAATCTTGACAGGAATAGAAACTGTGAGTTAATATGGAGAATTTTTACTTTACTCATTCAACAACTGCTAACATTAGCGGTACTTTAGCCAGAAAGGAGCGCTGATCAGACATAAGCTGGTTATTGAGATCATATTCTTTCTTTCCGTCCAACCAGCTTTCCCTCCCTGCCTACCATGACACATCAATAAACATAAGGCTCAGTCACAAAAAGACAACAGAAAGCAGTGGAGCCTTGTTTGTGTTCCACTAACCTTTGTACTACAACATGTGGTCCTTCAGATTTGAGGTTTTATCAATAATTATGCTATGATATATTGGATATTTTGTTCATATTGGTTACAATTAATATATTTTTAATTTTAAGTGTATTTTAGTGAATTATATAATATGTACATTTAAAATGTGTAAAAACAACTAGTCCTATATTATATATGTTGTAAAGTTGGATACTTACATTATCCCAAATGTTTCCAGTAATTTAAAAACCTAGGTAAATCTCAACATAGGTTTTAATCAAGGTAACCATGTGTTTCATTTGGTTGCCTATCAGTGGCATCCCATCCCCCTCAGTGGATGTGTTGTTTGTCTGACCCAAGAGTCCAAATTATTTTTTTACCCAGTTTTAAGTCTCATGTTTATGATTTAATCCTTAGATTTTAGTTTGCGATTGTTTATCAAAACAACCTTTTGCAATTTTTGTCTCTTAATTGGTATTATGATTGGTTTCCATTAATTTAAAAAATCATAGTTGAATAAAGTTCATCAAGTAAAAGAAAATTAGGGGCTTTTTTAGTGTGAGTCAGGAGCCTTTTTGCAGTTTATTTTGATGATTCACAGTTAAGGGGTAAAGTTTGAGGTAAAACCCAGAAGCAGATGAGCAGGGGGCTTCACTGGCAGCAACCTTACCCCGGGTTTGTAAAGTGGAGGGTGCAGTGCACTTCACTTCCTCTGGCTCCTCGTCAGTGCTCCCTCCATATTCATCCTCCTCAGCGGCTGTTTGGTCTGATTTGACTGAATCCTTATTTTTCTCTCCCTCAGAACTTCAACGACAGAAACCAGAGAAGAAAATGACTCTGTCTGGTCTACAATATGAAGCACAACAGTTTAGAAATATCCACCAAACTTTCAAAAACTGAATAAAACACGGAATTATATGTCACATGACTTTCACCACACAGGAAATGACTCAGTGGATTGAGGCGGTTTAAGACACAGGCGTTAAAGAAATAATCTTGAGCTTAGTTTATTAAGCAACATTTTTTTAAATTATTCTAAAGAACATGTATTTGAGCTCATTTCTGAAAAGTGTTTTAGTGTTTGTGGTTAAACTAGTGCTGACACCGTCCGTTCATCATTTGATGTGAAAGTAGCTGAACTATCATGGAAACTTTCCAATGCAAAAGTTCAGTTTGAAGGAGATGCACATGGACAACATCCAGTTACTATAAGCTGTAAACCTGGATTCCTGCAGTTGTGAGACAGTTTCCTGCAGACTGCGGATCTTTGCTTTCTTCTCATTCAGGACGAGGACAAATCGAGAGTAGAGCTCTGTCTCCAGGGCCTCTTTACCACCAACGTATCGCTTCATGCTTGGAAATACAGAAACACAGAAACATATACATAAGTCTTAAAATGTGGAAGCCTCACCTTTTCTTTAGAACCTATATCCACACACCTCCTATGAAACAAACACAGACACAAGTCTTTCCCTTGAGAAATGTAACGACACTACAGCTGGTCAATGATGAATGGAGGAGTCAAGGGGCTGATTATAAACAAAGCCAAGATTCAATTAAGGCAAGCATATGAACTTCTGACTCTGATTTACCATAAGCATGAATGTGTTGTATATTTGATCCTGAACTTAAAGGTACAGTGTGTTGAAGTTGCATTTTGCAGCTGAACACCCCTCACCTCACCCTCTCCTTCCAAACATGAAGAACCTGTGGTAGCTTCATTTTTCATAAAAACTCAAAAGGTGTTTAGTTTGTCCAGTCTGGACTAATGTAAAAAACATGGTGGCCTCCATAGAGAGGACCCGCTCAATG